ACACACACACTGCTTCTCACACACACCGCTTCTCACACACACACCGCTTCTCACACACACACCGCTTCTCACACACACACTGCTTCTCCCACACACACCACCTCTCACACACACACTGCTTCTCACACACACACCGCTTCTCACACACACACCGCTTCTCACACACACACTGCTTCTCCCACACACACCACCTCTCACACACACACTGCTTCTCACACACACACCGCTTCTCACACACACACCACCTCTCACACACACACCGCTTCTCACACTGCTTCTCACACACACACTGCCTCTCACACACACACCGCTTCTCACACACACACTGCTTCTCACACACACACTGCTTCTCACACACACACCGCTTCTCACACACACACCGCTTCTCACACACACACCGCTTCTCACACACACACCTGCTTCTCACACACACACCGCTGCTCACACTGCTTCTCACACACACACACGCAGGCTGCAACGCTGAGCTTCTCAGTAACCGCACGGCGCCAGTGTTCAATCACTGTAGCCGAGCCCGGTGCTGAACGGATTGAACCGTGTGGGCTGGGGCTCTGCTGTATGTAAGCGAGCAAGTCTCCACATTAACCCTTATCACCTGTCGGCTATTTTTAGTCCATTCAATGAATGCTGTTCAATACTCAAACGATTGCCATATTTGTGGCATGCGCATTTGTGCAATCAATTCGTCTCTTAAGTGATTTAGCCATTCAATTGCTTTGCAAGCTGGTGAATTGCAGATAGGCCTCCCTTTTTCAAAATCTATATTCGGGGGCAGTGTGAAGTTATATGGTCCATGGATCTCTAATAGTCGCTCTCCATTGACTATATGAGATCATAATCATTATTCAATCAATTCATTTTCAAATTACGCCACCTTTGTCAATCATTATCTGAATTAAGGCCTTCCCAGTGTCAGTCGCGGGGATTCTTTGACCAAACATCGCCGGCGAGTGTGGGTTGGTGAAAGATGGAGAGGGGGGGGGTGAAGTGAAGGCCAGGGCCGGTTTGGTAATCACTTAGCACTGATGACAGCCGTGGCTCACGATCAAACTCAGAGCGTGCAGTGAGCGAACTGCTGCTAACGCCCCCACCCCTCCACGCGCCATGCACGACGTTGTTGAGCTACGCCTGGAACTTCGTGCTGCGTCTTCTTTCGGATGGATTCATTGCAGCTGGTGGTTAAAGATGTAATTTTAGATTTGTTATCCACTCAATTGTCTTTTCAGAAGCAGAGTGGATCTCGGGATTCGAGGCCGCACCACTCCAAGGGCCGCTGAACCTTTGACGGTCGCATCGTCTACATGGTCGACCATTCACGCCTACTGCTGGGCAAACTTCATTTCAACAAAGACCCCCCCCTTCCACCCCAATGATCCCATCGAAATCCCCAATTTCGATCGGATCATTGGGGTTTATTAGTAATAAATCGGCATTTTGCGACACCCACTGCCACTGTGTAGCATATTATTACGTGCCAGGGACTCTATGAAATGATAGGACAGCATTCTGAGTCCATAATTGGCAATAAGTAACAGCAAAACAGTTCTAATTGACAGAATTGTGCGCAGTTGCGTGTACAGTCCACGACGTCCCTGAAGGCAAACACCTTCAGCGAGCGCGATGCCGATCACACAACGCGGTTCGAATTCGACTCTCGATCGACGGCTGCGCCATCGCCGCACACGCGTCGAATAAAAAGCAAGGCACAAGTCCTTACTTACTAACAACTCCTCTATCATTTTTCATTGCTGGAGGGGTTACCCCCCCCCCCTCCTACCTGAACATCCTGGCTCCGCCATTGCACCCACCCACTCCCTATTCCATATCTACCACGCACGCTCGTTATTGACGAAGAACGTATCAGAAAAGTAATGAGCAGCAAGAAAGAAGACTGCAATTGCCCGATAGTCAACTTAAAGACCGACGACGCAAATGTTTTCAACCGTTATGACTTTCACGCAATGTGTAAATATTGTTTTTTTTTTAAACCCAACTGATTGTTAAATACAGCTGAAGTCACCCTCGTTTAAATTTACCGTTTTAAGTGGCGGGACACGAATCCACATCACGCGTACGTCGAATGGCACATGAACACGCGAAATGTCACGGACGCGTGCCAAGAGTGGCTGAGGTGCATGGAGGACAAATTGTGCCCGGATTTATGCACGGTTGACACCACACGGAATCACTTCCTCCCACACGCCTGATTATTTTCAGCATGATTGTGTGGTGGGGTTCTGTGTTAAAATTTCAAACGCAGATTTAAAAAAAAATTAGGGGGGAGGTGTGACTTAATGAAAGTCTCAATGCGCAACGTGTTCCAAATGTATCCCTTATTCATAGGCTAGTTAACGTGTCGTCGGAAAAGCGGTTCGCGTTGACGACAATGAACGGTTGAACGGGGTTTGAACATGAATGAATGATACATTGGTAACTTAGCAAACGAGCATAAATTAAAGCCAGTTATTGTTATTTTGACAAGCTGGATGTATGGAGCATCTCATACGCAGTTGCGCCTGAAGACGTACAGAAAGTGGAAATGTGCAACGTGGAGAATCAAGAAAACATAAGATCATGACATGAATTTCTATATTAGAGGGGTCTTTCATCGGTCTGTAGTCCACATTAACACTGCTGACAGCTTCAATCAATCACTGGCAGAATTTCAGATATTTACGTGGCTACTCCTGATGCCATCCACTGGCTCACGCCACGAACATATTCATGTTGCTGATTAACCGCCCACCATATGAAATAACTCACGCGTACAAAAGTAGTCTTCGTTGAGCTTAGATTTGAATAAAAGGCAGGGAGTTGGTAGCGCAGATGTCTAAAGGTGCATTTTGTGTGGCCAAATTCAACTTTACCATTGTGTACCGAATTCTCTGGATTATTATAAGACGCTCCAGAAAGGAAGCCGCACCCGAAAATTGTATCCAGTGTCAATCTTTAAATCAGTCTGGTCACACACACAAATCTACCAGATTATAATACGCACCCTCATATGTTGCTTATAAAACAAACAAGGAGAAAATGTATTCATATTCTTGGTTCTTTCGGTAAAGTCACGTAGAAGGGAAATAATAAAAATATTAAACAATAAAAATTCTAACTTTTCGACTGCAACACAAGCAATCATTATCAAGTGTGAAATCCACAGCAAGAAAATTTGGAAAAAGTGGATTTCACACCTGATGATGATTGCTTGTGTTGCAGTCGAAAAGTCGTGAGAATTTTGATTGTTTAATATTTTTATTATTTTATTATTTCCCTTCTACGTGACTTTACCGAAAGAACCAAGAATATGAATACCTGCAGTCACGAAAGCTTTAAATACACATTTAAGGGGAAAAGGTGTTTAATAATCCGAAGATTGCGGTATTATTCTGTTGCTTAACGTACACCGTAATATTATCTGAATTCCAGTTTTGTATTCTTGTCAAAAGCACAGGACTGCATTCTGATCTCTATTCAAGTGCTGCTAAAATTGCACTACTCAGCATTTTGGCCCACTAACCCAGTTACAATAAACAATGGACGGTGGAAAAAAGCAGCAGACGAGGCACTATTTTAGAGAATCGCTGCACATAAAAACAAAGGTCTGCATACGCCAAGTGCAATTTGTTGTCGTGGCAGCAGGGAAATCACTTTGTGCTTTTGAAAAAATCTGGCGGCTGATTTTTTTTATTTGTAAGTTTCCTAATGAAATATAAAACCGGAGCAAAAATTATTCAGTTGATCACAGCTGATTGTTATTAAAAGGTCAACGCGCCGCAGGTATTCGCCATGTGTATTATTTTTTTACTGCAATGTCACAGATGGGTTTGCATTGATTACTAATTACTTACAAGTGTTTGGCAAAAGGTCTCAAGAGAAAGATAATAAACATTTAAGTCAATGTAAACTACCAAAATGTAAGATGACAAAATATGTATGGATACTAGATCACTTTCATTCAACAATAGTGTACCTGTGTATTGTAATGCATTTGATCGTCACATAAGACGATGAAAAACATTGGTTTTTTTTTCATTTTTATTCTTGGTTCTTTCGGTAAAGTCAAGTAGAAGGGAAATAAATGCTATTTTATTATTTCCCTTCTACGTGACTTTACCGAAAGAACCAAGAAGATGAATCATTGCAGTAACGAAAGCTTCAAATCGAAAAATTGGGTTGTGTTGTTCAAGACAGACCTTAGCATATCATACTCCTATATAATAAGAAAAAAAACTATCCCTCGAGTTTCCTGGCTCGCTGCTGGGTGGGGTCCTTTCTACCCCAACAATAACTCTGCGGTTCGTGACACATAAACACGGAAGTTAATTGAAACGGCTGAAGAAGTTCGGAAGAAATAACAGCTGGCGAGAGCAAAGAGATGGGAGTAACGAAAGCAGCAGATTGACACGGTTCATTAAACTTGTGTTCCTGTTAATGGCAGAGGTGTGGACTCGAGTCATGTGACTTGGACTCGAGTCAGACTCGAGTCATGAATTTGATGACTTCAGACTCGACTTGGACTTGCATAACAATGACTTTGTCCCACCTCTGAGGTGTGGACTCGAGTCATGTGACTTGGACTCGAGTCAGACTCGAGTCATGAATTTGATGACTTGCAACTCGACTTGGACTTGCATAACAATGACTTTGTCCCACCTCTGAGGTGTGGACTCGAGTCATGTGACTTGGACTCGAGTCAGACTCGAGTCATGAATTTGATGACTTCAGACTCGACTTGGACTTGCATAACAATGACTTTGTCCCACCTCTGAGGTGTGGACTCGAGTCATGTGACTTGGACTCGAGTCAGACTCGAGTCATGAATTTGATGACTTCAGACTCGACTTGGACTTGCATAACAATGACTTTGTCCCACCTCTGGTTAATGGACGTTGAACGTCTTTCGCACCGTGATAATCGGAGGTGCAATTCTTTAAGTATATTTTTGAAATCCCATCGCATAAAAAAACACATCACAATATACATTGTGTTGACATTTTATTATTACAAAATCTATTAGTTTGAGTGTTCCGAGTACAGGACGATTGCGAGAAGAGTATGAAAACAAAAAGCGGTCTCCGTTATTTTCCTTCGCAGAGACAACCGGGTTATAGGAGACCATCTAGAAGGTATTTATACTCTTAGCTTTTTCGGTAAAGTCACGCAGGTAAAACATTTAAATGAATTTGTATTATTTTTATTCATTTTCATTTCAATTTTTTACCTACGTGACTTTACCGAAAAAACTAAGAGTATGAATCCTTGCAGTCACAACAGCTTCAAATCTAGAACATCTAGAAGGTAACTTGGCCAGGCTGGGCAGACGTCTTGGGAAAATGTGGCATGACCCACACTTTACCCCATCACACGTGACCTGCTGGTGCATACTGCTGGGTGGGCACACGGCAGGAGAAATTAAACTGGCGGCTTCTGGCATTGCAATGCCAGCGTGCTAATCATTATAACCAGGGCGTCATCCACAAGTAGGGAAACACATTTGTCACGTTTTTACTTGAGTCACTTTTACATATGCTTCATATTTTTTTTATCTTAGGAAAGAACGCGGCAGCGTGCAACACACCGCAGCCAGGTCCATTGCTTGGCCTTTGGAAGTTCTGAGCAAACAAATAAATCACATTAACCCTTGATTTACTTATTGATAAAACATAAATGAGCAATCTATCCTAATAAGCCGGTATCCAATGTGGCAATTTTCGAGATAGCAAAGGCATGATTGACTACAAATGTAAATACCCAGTAGAATTCTCATTGTAAAACATTTTATCTTTGAGAGCCAGGTGCATTTCTAGTGTACAACAAAATGGTTTGCAGAACGTGTCCTGTACATAATGTGCTATTGACTATTTTTTATTCAGTTTCTTATTGTGGGTTTACACATCCAGATTCACATTAGCAATTAAACTCGGTGATAATGGAATTTCGTGCATGCACACAAGGTCTATATGCAATAGAGTGAATGGACGTACAGTAATGGTGATCATGTTAATGTGGATCTTCGATGGCAATACTCGAAGCCGCTTAATAAAAGGCCGACCTTTTTTCTGCAGCACGAGCCATCGGTGACCTTACGTGGACACAATCAATAATGATATTATAGAAAACCCACGTGTACTGGCTTTCATAGTCAATATAATAATATCGAACACCACACTCCATTGTATAATTAGCCATTGATGAACCGAGGCATTACTGCAGTGGACCAGCGGAATAAAATGCGGGTGCTGTGAGAATTGAATAATTACAGGAAATAATTTTTGTAATCAAGAGAGCAATGTACATTAACAATTTAACACGCAGAAAATGAATACCCCCCTACGCCATACTATGTCCGAGCAATGCATGTCAATTTTATGGACACATTATATTGCAGTCGAGGGAGCCATCAACACAGGCACAATAGCACAACGTCGTGACAGGATGAGTCTACGGAATTGACCCGAGGACTAGGGTGTCCAGATGGTTTCTGCGAATTATAAATCTTATTTGCATTTAGCTTTTCATCTCCACTCGTCTCTCAAAAGCTGTCAACACCTCACCAACTGACAACGAAATGTCGTGCGGGACATTGTGCACACAAAAGGTAATACAGAAGCATTCTCCATTGTACGCTGTGAACAAAAAAACACTTCCAGCACAAGGGTAAACGGGACGAAAGATTCAGCTGTTATATTGCTATCATTTTGTCATCGGTTTTGAATCGTATGGAAGAGGTAAAAAAAAAAAGGAGGCGAGGTGCATGTCAAGAGCGAAAAGGGTCAGTTTACAAGCTCAAGAGACGACGATCTTCAACTCGAACACCCACTCTCTTGGCAATTTCCCTCCAGCACGACCAGATTACCTCATTTGCTGTTATGCCGTATGGTCAGAAGGGTCCGTCGTGTCACGCGATAGTGATGTTGTTGCAAAGCAAGGACATGTTTAAGAATTATTTATTATGGTAACATGTGGAGAAGGGAGGGAGGGGGGGGGAAACACAGACGTCACAGGGTAATGTGAAAGAGTTAGGCCCGCAATCGGTACACGCCACCCCCCCCCCACCCCTTTTCACGAGGATATTCACAACAAATGTCAACCATCATCCCTAAAAACTTCCGAATGCATTCGGATATCAAAGAACATGACAAAATATTTTACATAAACATGTTATGTGATCACATTTTCAAGCATAACGATGTGACGGTATTACAAAGGCAAACAACTTTTCACAAAAATATTTAAGAATGTTTTCCTAACTGCGGCGATCGCGGTCGTGGGAACTGTCACGTTCTCGATTGCGGGGTCTGCCCTGGTGATCCCGCTCTCGTGACCTCTCTTGATCTCTTGCTTTCCTGCTCAAACGGCTGTCATCATTTTTGCTGCCTCCTTTTGCCTCACCCTTGTCTCTGGTTCTGTCTTGCGACCTCTCCGGGTGTCTCTCTGGAGATCTCTCCTTGCGTCTGTCTGGAGATCTATCCGTGCGTCTGTCTGGAGATTTCTCCCCGCGCCTGTCTGGAGATCTTTCCCTGCGTCTGTCTGGAGATTTCTCCCTGCGTCTGTCTGGAGATTTCTCCCTGCGTCTGTCTGGAGATTTATCCTTGCGTCTCTCTGGAGATCTTTCCCTGCGTCTGTCTGGCGATTTCTCCTTGCGTCTGTCTGGAGATTTCTCCTTGCGTCTCTCTGGAGATTTATCCCTGCGTCTGTCTGGCGATTTCTCCTTGCGTCTGTCTGGCGATTTCTCCTTGCGTCTGTCTGGCGATTTCTCCTTGCGTCTGTCTGGAGATCTCTCCCTGCGTCCGTCTGGAGATCTCTCCCTGCGTCCATCTGGAGATCTCTCCCTGCGTCCGTCTGGAGATTTCTCCCTACGTCTGTCTGCAGATTTATCCCTGCGTCTGTCTGAGGATCTCTCTTGATGTCTATCTGGAAATGTATTCTTATGTTTCTCTTGCGATCCGTCTACGTGTCTTTCTTCCGATTTGTCCCTACGTCGGTCTTGAAATCTGTCCTGGTGTCTGTCCTGAGATCCACTCCTATTTCCCACTGGAGCTCTCTCCCTATGCCTGTCTTGGGATCGGTCTTGAAAGGGTTCTGGGGACATGTTCCTGGCTGTCTCCTGCACCTTCATGTGATTATTTTCTCTGGAATTCTGTTTTTGTCTTCCCCTGTCCATTTCCATGTCACTGGAATGGTCATGCTCCTTTCGTTTGTCAGTTGTCTCTTCAGGTCTGCCAGATCTCTTCCCACTTCCATCTGCCTTGTGATTACTTTTCTTTCCTTCTTCATGCCTTCCACGATCATCATCATCATCATTCCTCTCCTTCTCATCACTAGCTTTCTTACGTCTTCTGCTTCTCTGCATGTCCTCATCCTCATCGCTTGTGTCGTGTCGGGCCCTTTTGCCGTCGCTTTGATTTGATTTCCGTCCGGGTTGTACGTCATCCTTTTCCCGATCATTCTTCTTCTTCCCATGTCTTTTGGACTTCCTTGGTTCTTCATGCTCCTCATCTGCACTCTGATTTGTCTTTCTCCGTCGATCCTTATCGTTGATTTGCGGGCTTGCACTGCTGCCATGTTCTCGACCTCTATGCTTCTGCCCGTCGTCGCTTTTACTCGGCCTGTTGCTGCCCCTATCCTTGCTTTGATCTTTCTTTCCTTTTCGATCGGCACCTTTGACTCGTCCACCATCCTTCCTCGCGACATCCCTCTCCTGGCTCGAGTCTCCGTGTCGTCGTTCATCAGGGCTGGCGCCTCTGCCGCCGCCGCCGCGCTTTGCTTTGGTGCCCGTCTCTCCGCTGTGATCCCTGCGTTTTTCCCGCTTCTCCTCCCTCTCTGCATCACCGCCCCTCTCTCCTCTTTCCAGATTTGTCTCGCTTCTTTGGGCCTCCCTTCGCCTACGATCCCCTCTTTGAGAAGTCTCTTCATCGCCCTCCCTACCTCGCCTACTCGTCTTCTTAGTTTGGCTCGCATCTTTCTTCCGAGCCTTCCCCTTTCCGGAGACTTGCTTGTCTTCCTTTCCGACTTTTCCTTTTCTCTTTTTCCTGGCACTCGCGGCATCTGTCGTGAAACGAAATGACAAGGATCAGAACAAATGAGTCGCAAATAAATCTAAGGTATTATAACATTTGCCATTACACATCCCGTCACACCTTGACAGAAGAGAGTGCGCGCGTATCATAGATTCTCCGACAAAAATATGTGTGTATTACATAGATGCATTAATAGAGACTTAAGAATATTCTGGAAATCTTCTTGGTTCTTTCGGTAAAGTCACGTAGAATGGAAATAATAAAATAATAAAAATAATAAACTAATTCTCACGACGTTTCGGTGACACTGCAAGCAGCCGTCCTCAGGTGGAGAACAGGTCTGTCGAGAAGACTCTGTCTGACTCTGTCTTCTCGACAGACCTGTTCTCCACCTGAGGACGGCTGCTTGCGTTGTGGCCGAAACGTCGTGAGAATTATAAAAAAATAAATTATTTTATTATTTCCACTCTATGTGACTTTACCGAAAGAACCAAGAAAATGAATCCCTGCAGTCACGAAAGCTTTAAATCGAAATTTATTCTGGAAATGTTTAATTTAGTCATGTTAATGACAAATACGCCCCGGGTTGATTAAAGCTAATTGCAGCCATAACTATGCAATTTCTAAATTTAGAAAGCCTCCTGCCGATTCTAATTATTATTGGCATGGGTTCATTTTAGTTGGGCAATCGATCACAACGCAGACTCGCTGTTAAAGGGTCCTGACTTGTGACGCATACCTTCCCTACCAACATCTGTGCGGAAAAGACAATGCCCAATGAACTGGCTTCAATGCCTGCATAATTCGGAGCTTATGATGCATGGCCTGAAAATGTCACCACGGCATATTAAAATAATTCTTAATGACAAAATATGTTCTAATGAGAAGAAATACCATAAAAGGTACCACACACACAGGGCAGTGACATTTAACTACTCAAGCATGGCAGTATGGGTGCAGTTGCATTTTGTCTCCCCTCATATAAGCCAAGACAGACTAAACAGCAGTGTTGCACACGTTCTAAAAATAAACATTCATGCACCATCTTCTTGGTTCTTTCGGTAAAGTCACGTAGAAGGAAAATAATAAAAAAATTAAAATAAAACATAATAAAATAATTCTCACGACGTTTCGGCCACAACACAAGCAGCCGTCTTCAGGTGGAGAACAGGTCTGTCAAGTAGACATATTATTAACATTCCTTCCCTTTATTAATTCTAACCTTCCTCCCTTTGATACTGCTAATCCTGCATAATGCACGGGCATAATGACTTTAAACCCCTCGCCAAACCTCCTACACATTTCACAAGTAGTACTAATCGCATATCTGCATTTCCCATAAATATGCTAAATTCCTCTTGATATGCAAATTATTTTGTCAAAGCGCTCTTTGCCCCTCCATCCCAGCATAAATAGTCGCTCCAAGCCTGGGGCTTGCCATTCAGACTGTCTACTTGACAGACCTGTTCTCCACCTGAAGACGGCTGCTTGCGTTGTGGCCAAAACGTCGTGAGAATTATTTTATAATGTTTTATTTTTATTATTTTCCTTCTACGTGACTTTACCGAAAGAACCAAGAAGATGAATCCCTGCAGTCACGAAAGCTTTAAATCGAAATTCATGCACCATTTGACTCAAAATAACTTAAATCTAACATATACACTTAATGCAAACAAAAAACCTATTCATGGATAGTTTAGTAAATTTCAAATCACCAAGTGAGAGCAACAATATAAATGGCATCCAGAATGGAAAGCTTTAATGTCCCCAAAATGTAATAGCCCCGGGCAAATGCTATATATTGGGCTAGTTGTCAATATAAACTCCGTGCTGCGAAATGATGAAACCGCCTGCTGAAGTATCATTAGGATGCAGTATTGATCCTCTGAAGCCCCAATACGTCAAAAGAGCGATTAGGAGTCCAATTTATGAAAACAAAAAAAATGGCACGGAAAGCAGAAACATAACTATAATATTAACAAGAGGCCAGCAGATATACCAGGTTAGATTTTTACGGCACAATATTTCAGTTTATGTTGACATTTTCTAAATGTACCGAGAAACTCCATAATCTTATTGTATTGCACTCTATATATATTTTTTTACATGAAGTTAAAACATTTTACGAAAATTTGATTTAACCCCAAAATGAAAACTTGCCATTGGCCATTCAGCAACTCTTGAGCCTCTGTCACCAAATTGTGGCAATGTTGAACCGGTTATTGGATTTTCCTGGAGCAGTGTTAAAGTGCCTCAGAAAATTCAGAGGCATTTCATAATGGTCTGCAGAAAAGTTAACTTGATCAATTCACGAACAATGTGTTGTCATGCCGTGGAGGAGGTTACTGCTTATCATGTGGCAATGGCAGAGTTCGTCAAGAAGGCACGTTAACTTCTGAGGCTCTCTCTCCTTTGGGCCATCAGTTGCTTTAGCAGCTGTACATTTTAGGCTTGTCATTAAAAGGAAAACATCAGCAGCAGCCTCAAATTTGACGGCAGCCACTGATTTGGTGCTGCGGTGGCGAGATAATAACTACCTTTGCCTGGCATGCAGGAGGTCGTGGATTCGATGCCGACTCTGACAATGCCTGTATATTTGGAGTTTGCATGTGCTCCCTGTGGTCACGTGGATTTTTTTTCCAGGTTCTCCGGTTTTTCGCTCCACATTTAGAAACATTCGTTTACAATATGTATGCCAAGCTCTTTTCGCACCGTACGTAGCCAACTGTGCTAATTGAAGGTGCGAACAAATATCACGTGCTAGAAATTTTCCACGTGATAAGTCGCTTCGTTGAGCTATCATTTGTGGCCAGGTCGTTTCTGAAAAAATAGATAAATAGCTCATGGGGCGGCTTGCCTGGTTAAAATAAAAAAAAAGTTTTGTTGAGTTTAGATTACAAAATGTATTATGAAAAACAAATGAACTTTGGCGGGACCACGCTGCTGGAGCAGGATGATAACCAATGAACAAAATTAACGGCAAGACAAAAGTCAAGCGGAAGCACGCATGAAAGGACAAACAGAACATGAAGTGAGGAAATTGAGGCACATAAGAGTTAAAGAGTAATTGAAAAAGGGGTGGGGAGCCATTAACACCGAGAGCTTAACATTGCTGCACGTAGGCGGCTGGTGGGGAATTTAAAAACTAAAGATAAGAATGTGCATTTGTAAAAAATCATATTATAATAAGCACACAACTTTATCTGTGATGAACGCTGCACTTTCCGTCGTTTTCATGCAGGGGGCGCTGCAAACCTACGCGCCCCCTGCATGAACAACGGAGGCGCAGGGACAGACGTTCGATCACGTTGGAATCGATCTGCAGACGGCGGTCTTCTCGCACAAACAGCTCTATGTCACCTTATCTCGATCCCGCAATACCAAACAGGTGATAGTCCGCATTGAACCGAACCCCTAGCAAGGCCATCTACTTAACGACGAGAGAAAATTCACACGAAATGTCGTTTTCAATTAAGCCTTTCATATGTAAAATGATATAAGCTTTTAATGAAGAAATACAATTATCTAATTTAAATCATAATACAATTCAAAGATGTTTCATTTTAAAACTTCAAAATAGAGCATCAGGTGCTTGCGTGAATGCGTCGTTCGTGTGCAATTTTTTTCGTGAATTTCCTGGCCGAAGGCCGAAGGCCATAAATGGTTGTTCGGGAGCGCCCCCGAACAACCCCTAGTAATATTATAATGGACTTATTAAAAGGAACAGTTTTTGCTATAAACCATCAAGGTACATTTGAGCTTCAAGAAAGGTTAATGTTTTTGTCGATTTCTTGTTTGGAAGGTCCAGGAATTATTTTCACAGTATGACAACGATATTGGCGCCGGTGGTGCATGCTACGTCAATATGCATGCGCGATTGAAAATACAGCCAACACAATGCAGGTGACACTCTTGGGCTGTTTAAAGGCCGATAATAAAGCAATAATAGTGCATTTCAAATTTGACACGACTAAATGGCCTTGTGAAAAATATATTTACGCTAAATTAAAACTTTGGCTGGCAACAACAAACAAATTTACCACGGAAAAACAACTTCATTTACACAGCCATCATGCTGTCCATTAAAGAAGTCGGTCAAAGCACGAGCAGAGAGGACAGTAAAACAAAATAATACGCATTGTGGGCTCATTAGCAGATGGCACTTAAAACGGCATTAACTGCTTTTTCTAAGTGAAATGGTAACGCAGGCTCTGCGCTTGTGCAAATTCAACGTTTGGGAGGCGGCGGCAGCTTAGAATCGGAATCTTTATCCTGGAGAAATCCGACGAGCAATGAAGCTCTTTTTCACAAATGTCCAAATGTCCTTTTTCACAGATGTCGGCGGAGGCCGAGTGAGTGAAGCGAGCTGCTCAATTTGTACAAGCCACACGCACGTGCGCACCGGGGGCAGTGCAAACCACCGCAGCCCATTAGGATCGGATAAAGGCTGCCGAAGGCCAAACACCTGGTGCTCATTAACTTTCACACATTTCTATGCCAAGGATTATCACAAGGTCAAAGGAAGACGGAAAGTACATTTTCTTAAACGCACCTATTTGTTGGCATTGCACACCACACGCACGGTCTTTATTTCCATTTGGATTAGAGAAATGTTGAATTTAGATTCCTTGTTTGTGGAATTCTATATGCATGACTAATGCAAAAAGCTACCCAACTCTTCGTGACTTATTGCAAAAATGACATCCACCCTGAACTGTTACGGAACTCATTGTTTGAGAAATGGCCCTGCCATTTGGCATTATAAATCCCAGCTGTTCAAAACCAAGGAAGACATTCACTCTGTGATCCTCTTATTTACAAACCGTCAAAGTGTCCCCTATAGTTATTTAACCATTGACACAGATAATACGTGAAATATCTTCAACTTTATTTGCACACCAATGTCGTTTTTCTTGAAGAAAAACGTGAATTCCCCCATTGAACTCACCAAATCACAGCCACTGTATGCATCCTGAAACATTTTGTATTAATGCATTGTGGTATAATTATAACAGGCCTGACAACTGCACATGGTTACATTGCTTAGTTTGTAAGCAAGTAGAATATCTAAATGCAATCCCTTCCAATTTTTATTTTGTATGATTGCATATTTTAGAAACGTATATGTATCAAATATAGTTCCAACATTAATTTGAACGCACAATGCTCAGAATGACGAAATATTAGGTGTATATAATTACTCGATAAATAAAAATCGAAAATGTCAAGGTAAATGTATCAAGCAATTTAAATGACAGCTTACAATCATTTTTGTACCTTCAAATTAAAAGGATGTAATACGAATAATGCAAAATTAATTACACTTTTTTAAAGTAGCAGCATATTCATCATAATGCAATTAGTGTTTTCACACATTCATTACTTAAATAAGCTCGTTAACATTTCGAGGTCAGCGGCTGACGATCAGGGGGGGGGGGACAACGACTCCTTAATATCTGGCCTCAGTATTTTATTAATCATTATCTTTTACGGGGGCTACATGTTTTCCTTGGAGCTGCAACAAGCTATAAAAAATATAATTCTATGCGCTTCAATGCCTTGGAGATGGAACAGTCATTCCATACATGCATTGCTGTAATCCGTGCTAAACCCAGTGAGATAAAATGGGTTGAAGTGTTGTTTTTTTTGTTGGTGAGATTTCGCACGGCTTAAGAGTTCTAAGACGAAGCTTGTGCCGGGCACAACGACGAGCGGAGTTGCTAACATGATAGATGGTTCTGTTCAGAGATCTTTAGTCACTGTCAGAATGCCGTTACAATTATATTCAATCAAGCTCACAGTGTGTGACCTCGCCGTGCAACCATTGGAGGCGATGCAGACAAGGACAACCCAGCAGTCAAAATAATTTGCTTGCCCGCTGGGTTACAAAATTAGGGCATGGGACATGGGACCAAGAATGTAATGGGACAAAGAGAGCCTCGTATTCACTCAGTGTTAGGCTTGCTACACCTCCTCAATTGTCGCGTGATGGGTACAAAATCAATTCCACAGCACCATGCCAGCTTTGTACAGGGACACAGCGTGTATGCTACGTTATTAATAACCAACAACCTTCATATATGGCACTTAAATCACTTAACAAGGAGTGCCTACAGAATGAAATCCAAGACATGAATATGCACGTGTAGGGCTCAGGGGTCTGTGGAGTGGCCAAGTGCCGTGTTTGTCACTGGCCCTCAGTGAGGGGAAAAGGGTCATTCGCTGCTCAATGACTTACGACAGAAAGAGTAAATCTGCTTTGAAGCACCCTGAGGGCAAACTCAGCATTTCCTTTACGAGGACGTAAATATTGTTTGTGCTGCCATTTGATAAACCTATACTGGCTTTTTTTTTTTTTTTAGCTTAGCTGAGCCGTGGCCAACGTTTTCCCCATTCGCACCACCGGAACATCGCCGCTCGCAAAAAAAAACCAGCAACAAGGCTGCAACGCTGTAGGTTTTTTGGCGGGTCGCCGTTCATCAACTGCTGCCGCACTGACAAGCAACGAATAACATTTAACTGTCTCCATCTAAGTTGCGGTCTTCAAACTGTTCTAAAATAAAAGCTTGCTGGCGAGTTCACCCACACTTGAGCGCAAAAGCATAGATATATATTTTTTTACGAAACTAGCCCACTTAAAATTCTATGTAACACATTATTAATATGGTTTTGTATTTGTTTTAATTCAGAATATTGATGTATTCCACATTGTTGAGAATTTGCTTAAAATATGCAGCCAGACTGAAGATTTCAGAAGGGCACACGTAATAAGAGCTTTTGATATAAAGAAGCCAGCACTTTCGATGACTGAATGTAAGGACGCACTGCTTGGCATATGGGACATAAGGAAAAAAAAAGGCTTACACAAAAGTTAGGAGTCATTATTGTCTGTGAAAGTGTTTCTTGCTGTTATTTTTTACGTACAAAACACACCACAACAGCTGCTCCCACTGTTAAAAAGAGCTGCACATCCTACTTAAATTCCATGCAATTTAAAACCCATTCATCATGTGCATTGCGTGTAACTGCTTCCATGTGCAACTAGTAATAGTAAATGGTAGCACCTCTTTCATGATGGCCTAATGCAATGCAACCAATCAAAATGAGTATAGCAAATACTATTAGCCAAGCATTTTTATAGCAATAACAAGAATGTATTCCCTCAAGTCTTTCCTAACGTGGAAATAATTACTAAAACATATTTGTTTTTAAATCTTGACTCAAAGCTTTCATGGCTGCAGGAATTCATATCCTTGGGTCTTTCGGTAAAGTCACGTAGATAGGTTGTAATTAATGCCCTTTTATTTAACACGACGAAAGGCTATTACCAATTTTACCTCGAGGTGGTTATAATCATACATTTTTATTTTTCTCGGTTGCACATTTCACATTTCACTTTCGACACGGATGCAAAAAAAGGCCCGCAATGTCACGCAATCCTCAACGTTTGCTGACGTGTGCTCTGGTAACTTACTGGTGTAGACCGCACTGGACCTATCCCAGCTGCCTTTCACAAATAATGTCCCACGAGAGAACCGCCAATGCGACACTTCACCAAAAACCTTCCCGTGGTGAGGGGGGGGGGGGGGGCACGTGCGGCAGTGAAAGCGCGATGTTTTAACCCTTTCGCGTTGGAACGATGTACGTGTACGTCATCAGTTTTTTTTCTTTCCGATTACGTTCTGATGACGGAACCGAATCCGAGCAGAAATCGGAAGTAAGAGGGCATGCGGGAGGGCGTGGTGGCACAGTTTTGGCGCCAGCCATCGTAGAGTACGGCAGTCGTGTCCGCTACGGTTCTTTGCGGCAAGCGACGTCATTTAACAACAACGGTGCTATCGCGCCTCTATAAATAACATTAACCCTGAACCGCTCGCGTGTTCAGAGATTCAGCTGCGAACGGGACCCACCCACACCCTGCAATTTGCACGACGTCTAGGAACGGGAAGGGGTTAAGCCGTGGCCGGTTCCGCTCTGCACCTGAGTCACTGCTGCTGCTTTCCTCTTCGCTGGAAGAGTCCGCCGAGCCGGTGCTCTCGCTGCTGCCGGAACTGCCCGAGCCGGAAGACGAATCGACGTCGTCATCAGAGGACGAGTCAGAATCGTCGTCCGTATCGTCCGTCTCGTCCGAGGATGAAGAGGACGAAGAGGACGAGGTATCGGACTCGACCTCCTGGCGCTGGGCCATGATCAGCTTGGGGGCGATCTTCAAATGGTCTCGCAGCTCGTCGCTGTAAGAAGAGAAGAAACACATCGAAATAAAACACGACTCGGTGTCTGCGCGGTGAATGAAACACTTCGAAGGCAACACCGATCAATATTCATCCCCAAGAAGAGCATCGCAGAAAATTCTCGCCGTTCTCAATTTTACTCGCCACGCCGAAGCAAACATTCCGCACATAGCGATGTGATCTATTAGGCCAATTTTCTGCCTCCCGACGTGCAGCGCAAGCCAGCTGGATGCACTATATTACTAAATGGGGCCGGGCGCGCGAGGCGGCTTGGCAAGCCTCGCAACCACGCGCGCATCTGGAGGTCAAAGCGGGAGGTGCGAAATTCAAAAGGACCTACGTGAGACCCCCGAGCCCAATGGAGGTGAAGAAATTGATGGCGAATCTGGTGTTGCGTGGGTTGTCCCGTGGAAAGAGCCCTTCAAAGAACGGCTGCAGTGTTCTGTGGGGAAATGAGAGGTCGCAATCCATTAACACAGTTCGGACGAAAGTACAACAAACCAATCCAACACGCGCGCCTAATCAATACGCGCCGATTGTAAAATGCTCCCCCACCCCTTTTGGTTTACCCAAGTGTTGCACCTAAATGAAAACACGTTTTTACATCTTACAGTTTTACATGATACTTGGGTTTTTTTCTTTAAGAGTGCTTGTGTTGTGGTTATTGCAAACATGATGCCTTGTATAAAGGTGTCAGTTTTTGTACCAGTTGAAAGGGTAAAAACCTATTACTACTAGTGTAAAAATTGCCACTGTTTATCGGTTGAATATTAACAAAAAAAATTACCCGTTATATTTATTATGAATATTGCTGTGCAATACAAGCAAGCTGTATATTAGTGTGTCAGATCTATGTTTGTCTTGTGGAGATTTATATATATCTCTAGTAGCTACAAAGAATCAATTAAGTGTACCATCACGCTCAATTTAAATCGACAAGCATCAACAGAAGCAAAGACCGAAATACCCCACGACTTTACAGCACAGATGTACTCACGACTGTAGCTTCGGTTAAATGCACACATTTACCGCGTTAGATTTTCAATCCCATTACAATTGAACACGTGGCAACACTAATTAATATACTGCACAGTATACAGCAAATTTTACAGTGTAAATCGATTGCACATGTGAAGCTGGGAAACCCAAGGCAAAGTACTTGTCACAGCCAAAGTGAACTACGCATCCACTCCATACTCTTTCGGTTCTTTCGGTAAAGTCACGTAGGTATAAAATAAAATAAATTAAATCACGACGTTTCGGGCGCAACACAAGCGTCCGTCATCAGGTGGGACAACCACAGCAAGAAACAATTGCTGAAGTGGGCAAAAGGGCTGCTGTGACAAGAGGCTATGTAGATTAGAGAGGGGGGAGGAGCCAGGGAGGAAAGATAGAGAGGGAGGTGTGGGGTAGGGAGAGTGGGGCGCTGCTAGAGGGATTAAAAAAACTTCAAATCTAGATTATGCATCCACTGTCTATGAACAGGATTTACTGGTCTAGTACTTTCATACTGCAGTTCATATATCTCGCAGTGATCACTCACTCGTCCTTTAAGCGCGTGTTGAGGCGTGGAAGTCCCATGTATTCGCAAAGCTCTTGAAAAAGGATCTTGACAAAAATACGGCTCGAGGATGTGGTGGTGTCTTCACTGAGAACCACAGACTCGAGCACCTGCAGAAAAAAACAGACGAAGAGAAATGGGTTGATAAGCCGCCATCAAAACAAAATGTTACTGGTTTTGTCAACTATCATTATCAACACCATTGGTCTATCCACTGCCGTTGACATTGCCAGCGGTCATTTGGACAGAGCACTTTTACAAGTGTAGGCACGGAGCCTTTACATTGAGGATCGTTTGGCCTACTCTTTACTCGCCAGATATGTTACGTTAGTTTGGATGATTAGCCGATAAAGTCAATGAATATACAAAATTTTTTGATTTTTTCAACTTTTTTTGTGGTCGATTGCCTAGGCGCTGCCAGACAACATCGTGCCTCCTATCAAAACAGCCATGCCCAGCGCGATACAGATGATACTGATAACATCAACAAGACTAGCTCATTACCTCTCATCCAGTGGCACCGTATAGGAACAGAAGTGAGACTTTTCCCCTCCAATTATTTTCCTGTTATCAGATTAGTCGAGTAATTGATAACTTAGGTAATCGGATTTCCCATTCCTAGTGAGAAAATATAATGGTACCAACACTTTTCCCCCCCGCCGCCGCACGCATGTATAATTGTTGAACTTCTTCCGCACCAGGGAAGTACAACAAACTTAACACAAAAGCGGTTATATTATATTATTGGTTCTTTCGGTGAAGTCACGTAGAAGGGAAACAATAACATAATACAAATATAAAACAATAAAATTCTCACGACGTTTCGACAGCAACACAAGCAATCATCATCAGGTGTGAAAAACACAGCAAGAAAATTTGAAAAAAGTGGCGGTTTTTTCTTAACGTTTAGCACCACGGACAGCGATTTTGGCAGTTGTTCAGACGGATAAAATAATTAGTTTTTAAATCTAGATTTAAAAGTGCATGGCGCAGAAAGGCATCTGAAGGCGCATCATATCCGTTTGCTGCTGGTGACAAAACCGAAGAGAGTCGCCCAAATAAACAAAGATCCCCCCAATGATTCAATAACATGGAGGAAAAAACCGGTGGAAAAATCCACGCGACCACAGGAAGAATATGCAAACTCCAAATATACAGGTGCTAAGGTCGGGATCGAACCCACAACCTCCTGTATACCAGGCGAGGGATATAACATCTTGTCACTGCAGTGCCCGAAGGTCACGGGGTCAGACACATTGCTTCTTTTATTCTGATATTTTTTAAAGCAGTTGCAAAGCTTACATCGGACCTCTGATAACTGCTTTTGTAGTATCTCACAATCTGGCTTCAGGTCTTCTTGATTGCAGAACTATGGGAGCCACACTCCAAAACAAGTCTCGGCAATGCACAAGTGATTCAAACTGCTCTTTATGATACCATCTCAATTCTTTTGTGCCATGTCTTATATTTAACTTTCCAGTTGCTTACCACGATTCTTGCCATGACATTTTAAGCATTCCCCCCCTTCATGCACTGTGCTCAAAGGATAAAAGCATTTCCCTCTTGTCGCTTGTTAAATTCACGCATCTCTCCCCCACACAAGAGGAAACCCATTACTCCAAACGCACACATCCATGTCTTATCACTCAAGCCGACATCTCTATTCTTTCAAAAGTTTATATACTACATCAATAACCTGCCCTACTAATATAATATGCCTGTTGATCTCTTTCCCACCACATGCTGTGTTAATGCACGTTACTACCTCAATACAGTCTTCTATTACCATCATATATTTCACTTTCTCCTGACACCTGTGAATAGCCCTGATATGCAATTTTCATATCAGGGCTCTCGGACACATTTGACCACTATTGAGTAGTGACACAGCCAATACGGTGGCATCTAGCAAAGTATCTGCAAGGCTCAATTAACGCAACTCACTACTCTACGGGACTTCTGGCAAAAACATTACCAAGCTGCAGCGTGTACGATATTCTCTGGCGCTTGTCGCGACGGGTACTGCAAGTTGCCAGATAGAAGGGTAAAAAACCAATTATCATTTATTTACTGGCAAATGAGGTTCCCATAGTGTAGATGCTTGCCCCCGAGCTCTCACACTCTGATGGTGCATTGTCTTTGAATTGTGCGCCTTTTGGCGTCATCTGGTCCACTACCATGTGAGACTAGGCTCTAAGGAAAGCTGTCTCGGGTGTGGACCAATCAACTTCAAGGACAGTGCATACATTATCAGAGTTATGTTCTTTTGTTTGTATTATGACTGCAGGTATTGCGGTCTATGCAAACATGCCTCCTTGTAAAAAGGTGTCAGTTTTGTTGCCAGAAAGAAGGGTAAAAAAACAATTATCATATTTTTACTGGCAAATGAGGTTCCCATAGGGTACTGCAAGATTCGACCATGTCCATCCAGTGCTCGCCAAGCTGCATTGGCTTCAAGTTGCCAAATGAATACGTTATAAGGTCGTACTCATGACACAAACAATTCTTGCCACAAATGAATCGCAATATCTTCTTGATCTCGTCAAGGAGCATTAACCATCTCATGAACTCCGGTCATATTCACAGCGGCTTTTGGCCGGCCACTGAACAAAGACGGTCACTGCATCGCGCGCTTTCAGACGCGCTTCTGCGTCCGTCTGGAACGCTCTTTCTTCCGATGTTAGGAAGCCACTGGAGCTATGCGCTTTTAAAATCTAATTTCAATTAGAGCTGTGTTTAGTTTGTTGTCTTTCCCCTGCACCTCCGATGAGCATGGTTGGCTATGTACGGTGCGAAAGAAGTTCAACATACGTACATATAAAGGTACATGAAATCCACCTCGAAACACTGACAACTTTGTTTATGTAAAGCTCACCCACTACATTGTTGAGCCTTAGTAGCTAAATGCCAAAATGTGCAACGCCCCAAAGTCAAGGTCCTAGCTAACAAACCTGTATCGTCTACCTACTCAATCTCTTAGGTGCTAATGATCAATTATGATCCCCGAGTGTTTTGCAACAGTTTCATTAAAAAATAATTGACAATGCTGTCTGCTTGAAAAATATATTACTTATGCTTTGCAGATTGAGGGATTTTATAAAATAAGGGACAAACCACACAACTAGTTCACCAATGATATATTACGTGTAAATTAGTCTCCTGAATAAAATGTTCTCTGTTTTAACAAGCATGTCATGTCTTTTAAGTAGTTCCTCACCGAATATGTTATTTTGCAAGTGACTGTAATGCTCAGCCGATAGCAGGCTGCAGTAATGCCTCGCGTAAAACACGTCAATCGTTTCCATAAACGTCGTGTTAATTGTGAATTGGAATGCCCATGTTCCAAGGCAAACTCATTAATCACCAGGACAAAGTATCAATACCTTTACAAGAGTACGTGAAACACCGCAATTGTTAATGAAAATATGCACCAAAATTGTATCAGCCCCTCTGTCAATCAACTGCTGGATGAAAGCCCCGTGCACATGTCAGGCACATGTCGCCACGTTGGTGAAAGGAGACTAGGAGGGCGAGGCCAGGATCGGTTCAGATATCACTTCGCCACTGATGTTAGCCATGGTCAGGAATCAATCTCAGGTGACCAGGCTATTGTAATTTGAAAGACGTCACTTTATATAAAAAAAAACAGATGACACTAAAAAGGTCCCTTTGGCTGAGACTGCCAACCTGAGCATGGAAAATGATGTCCACCTCTTATCGAACTGCAGATCTCAATCCCTTCTTGTTCTATTAGACCTCACAACTGCTTTTGACAGCACCCACGATAAGCGTTTTGACTACCTTTAAAAGTATGTACGAATTTTCAGAAAATTCCTCCTATTCAGTTCGCTTACACTGTACTTCCTATTCAGGTCCTACTATGTTTCCATGCAAGCCATAGAGTATTTTTTCGCTACAGCATTCCACAAAGTTCCATCCTAAGTCTGTTCCGCCTCTCAATTTACCACCTACAAAGAAAAAAATCACCTCCAACTTCAACGTTCACAAGCAATTTCTATGCTGACGACACTCTTACAACCATAGACCCCATTACAACGTCAACGCTCGCACTTCGGTTTGACATTGCCGAATCTCCCGATTATGGTCGAAACTTACTCTGGCTAAACATTGGCAATACCTAAAGGAGGAGTCCTGATAAGCAAGAGGTCCAAGCTCAATAACGATAAGAGCTGAAGTGTGTGGTTCTCTTAAACTTTGCCATGAAGCTGGCAAAGTCCCTCATCTGTTAGAGGCAAGGACCCCGAGCCATTATTCTCCAACCACATTTCTCCACTCTGCACAACATGTTTATTTTATTTCATTAATTTTATTTTCACCTACGTGACTTTACCAAAAGAACCAAAGAGTATGGATCCTTGCAGTCACAAAAACTTCAAATCTAGAACTACTCTCTTGCCTGCAAAGCACAATACACCTCCTGCATTAAACACTTTCTCGCACCATATTCTGCCGAAACCCATATCGACGCTTTCGTATCTCGACCGGACTAGTGTAATGCTGTGCTGCTTTACGGCCTCCCAAAAAATCCTTCACCTCCAAACTCCAATTGCCCCAGAATGCCTTTGCAAGACTCCTCACCTGCATCAGTAAACAAGGCCACATCCCCTTGATCCTAAGATCCCTTCATTCTAAGAATGCCCTCGCAATGTTCATGCTCCACTGATCCGCCCCCAAACCTACGTATCCCTTCTCATCTGACTCTCTATTAACCTCCACTTTCCTCTCTGCTCCAGCAATCTTCTGCCAAAAAAAAACCCAGTCAACCTTTGGTGATAGGGAGGGGGTCACTTCTTCTCTCATGTTGTCACTGCTGTCTGGAATTTCCTTCCTACTGGTTGTACAAACTGTTGAGATCCTTCACCTGTTCAAGTTAATAGTGAACATCTTCTCTTCATTGAAGAGTTTTCATTGCACCTTTACAATAGACGTGACAACGAATGGTAATAATGGATTGATTTAAATGATTTTTTTTAAGCTCACAACACATGCCATTGAATCGTGCACGAACACATCGATTTATTTTTAAATGTATGTATGTAATTGGTGGATGTAATCCAAGCAGGTGTGAGATATACGACATTTACCATAATGTACAAATATATTGTGGAATTGAACGGTCACCACAGATAATGAATTGTTATGTGCAACACCATCTCACCCAAAAAAAAACCCTATTATGGATGATATTGGTCGCGAAAGCCTACGTGTTAAACTGACCGTTTCCCTTTCCTCCCTTTCCAGTAACCCCTTCTACTCCTCATTCTCTCCCTGTCTAAAAAAAATAAATGGAATACATAAAGAAAAATAACAGCCATTTAAATTACCTCAATGCATATGTCCTCCCCATTTTGTACGGAATTGAAATGCGGCCACATTTATATTCATACAAATATTCAAACGGTCACTCGTATTTTTGAAAGGCGTCGATGATTGGTTTACTCTCGGTGCGCCGTTTGAAGTTCAAGAAAGTTAATGTGCACGGATGCTCACATAGTCGAATATATTTTATGGGGTTCTTTCATCCCTGATACGGTATCAATGTAACAATAACCTGTTTACGTATGCATTACCCTGTATGTAATAATGAAGAAAACTTGTTTTACTAGTAATACTGAATCAAGAAATGTATTTTTTATCTTATTACAAATACTATGAAATATATGGATCGTTTTCTTTTATAAATTTCAACAACTGTCCAATAAAGAAAGGTATATTTACTGCCTATGTATTTCATATATATGTGTCATCTGTAAATGTGTGCTGTGCATGTGTGCTGTGCACATGTGTTTTTCACGTCATCTGCATATATGCAGTTTGCGTGTAATCTGCATGTGTGCCGTTTATCTGTCATCTGCATGTATGATGTGCATGTGTCATGTGCATGTGTCATGTGCATGCGTGCTGTGCATGTCATCTGCATGTGTGCTGTGCATCTGTCATATGCATGTATGCTGTTCACGTGTCATGTGCGTCTGTGCTGTGCGTGTGCCATCTGCACGTGTGGTGTGCACGTGTGGTGTGCACGTTGACTGCACTGTGTTGCTTGCGGCAGCCATGTTGTGAGTGTGTGTGTGTGCGCACACATTGAGTAATGTGACTGTCCTCCGTGTGCTGCAACAAAACATATGATTTATGACCTGCTCATTAAAAGAAATCCCCTCTCAATATTGTTCTGCTTAATTTAACAGGTTAAATATGTAAAAAATCTAAAACTGTTGGATTTAGGTTCAATTGAGTCTCTAAGGAATACCGCAGTCTTTTATCTCAAAAGCAGCCAATGCTCCTAGGTTTATGGTCTCCATTTCACTTCTAATGTATGCCACCGTATTAAGAGCACCCTTTCATGTTTTCCAGCCGTAAATAAATATTTCAATTCGGGCCTTTACAGTAACCCTTTCAGTGAGATAAAAAACAAACCCGTACGTTTACTAACAAGCAATAAACCCCCACAAGTCTATTCGAGTGCCATCACTAATGGAAGGCTAAAATAAATCATCACATGCAACAGCACCTAATTGGAAGGCAGGGCCGTTAAATTAGCGCCGCCAGGAGTGACAAAAGAAGTCAGGGGGTAGCCAGTCACATTTTATGAATGTAAGTCGTAAATGTACCAAGATGCGTGATATTTCAAACGCTGAAAACTGTTCGACACTCATCATAGCTTTTAATATACTGCTATTATCCTTGATAGTAATCCACTTGTCAATAAAAATTAAATTTCATGAATTCTATGCCAGGCCATTTAAAGTTCAATACACGCAACGTATCAATTAGCTAACATGGAACAATTAGCACTTACATTCATAAAATGTTACTGAGTACATACAAAAAAATATCTTAGATTTCTTAAAATCAACATTGACCAAAAACACTCCTTAACACCTCTGCTCTTTAAAACCTGCTCCTCATGCTCAGCCATAGAATTATGGACATTTCAAAGGAGACATTAGGAGAGTAGATATAATAATTTAAATGTAATGGCGAGTAATATAGCAGACAATGAAGCTGTCTTATTTGACGGAAGAAGTTAAGACCCAGTAAATTTAAATAATTACTGAATAACTCTGGTAGAGTTTTGGTGTATTTATAGCCTTTTTTTAATATGGGTTTTACATTCGTAAAGATTGATTTTCTATGCCACCTAACATGATTTTAAAAGAAATAACATTGTTGAAACTTATTTAATTACTAAGCTTTGTCGTTCCTCATTAGGAATTAAATTAAGCAGCTATTTATATCACTGGCTCTTGATTTAGAGCAGTTTATATTGAGTAAATTATTACAGAAGTAAACTAAGCCTGTTATATTAATAAGATTCATCATCAGCGTACTCTGTTGAAATCTGTGAATAACATTAACTAGGATTTGTTTTACACGATGACACTTAAACAAATACTGAATGCAGGCCACATGACGCACTCAAAATGTTGTCCATCCCTAGCAGGCATATATGCATCTCTGTTAACCAGGCTGTTGCTTCCAATGCATTTGAAAATTGTGAAACCCCATACAGCAATAAAGCATTTGCTGATGTTCCAGCGACTGCACTGGCCAGATTGAGTAACAACCTACGCAACAAATCTCACTAAAAAAGTGCTTCTTTTCTTTAACACAATGCGACCTAATATGGGCTTAAGTGTCAGATCTGACTTTAGCCATTGGGACTTTCGTACTCTTGTTTTCAAGTTTTTTTTACTGTGCAACGTAGCCTTTTAAAGTGCAAACTCTATAATGTATAAGCTCGTGAACTCTCCGCCAAAACATTAAGTCTCGGCGCACAATAGCAGATGTTGGCTTGATTACGGAGCACATACCCAATCTGTGTGACAAATAACAAAGTGGCATGGCAATCGCTGCCTGTCCCCGGACTGCTAATAAGTGCGGCAAGGCACTTACGCTCCACGGTATGGAGTCGGTGAACAGCAGGTGGGCAAAGAGCTTGGCCACGTTGCGGAGTTTATTCGTCTCCAGCCGGTGGATCGCCTCGTACTGCTCCCTGAACAGAGCCTCGTAGCTCTCCATGTACTCCTTCTTCAGAAGGGAAAATCTCTGAAACCAAGAAATGCGTGACAATTATGCGAGGGGTAAAGCGCAATCAAAAGAAAAAAGGTAAAACGTCTTTTTTTGAACAAAATATTCGGATTGTATTGAGTTTCACAAAAAAACACAACGGAATTTTTTTTATAATTGTTATGAGGTCGTAAAAGGTTTAAAAATGTGCAGCCCTGCAATCGTTTGCTCATGCCACTGCTGGAAAAAGGGCCTCCACTTAAGGGAACTATGGATAGGCCCTCTAAAGGGTATTTTTGTCGACTCTTACTTGCTGGCCAAACCTCCTGGAAGGGGTGGGAGAGTTCCCACACTTTATCCCACCACACACAACCTGCCGATTGAATGAATGTGGTGTATCTATTTATATTGCTTCGTGGACAGAGGCAGAAAAATTTTAAATACCTGCCCATTGTTTCAACTGGCGTGCCGGGGAGATCAAACCGGTGACCTCTATATTTAAAGTCCAGCATGCTTCCAATTACACCAGCAATTTTTTTTTATTACGACAGATAAAACTCTGTAACTAAATGAGAGCCCATTAAGACAATAAAATAACAACATTTTGCAATGGAAACTGTGCTGTGTGCAATTAAGATAGAACAAAACGAGTGTAGATGTATCCCTTACACCTGCCAGAAGGCCAAAAAACTTTTCGTATGTCCTCTGTTGAGCGCAGCAGTCCAGAATCATGTTGCATAACTCCTTCTGCAGCCACAGATTAAAAGAGTAACAAAAACAACTTTCATCAGCATTCATAGACGTCAAATCGAATTGCCAGCGAATAACCATTTCGAACAGCGTTGTAAACACTGTGCCTTCACAGTGCCATGCTCACATGCACATACCATAGACACGCACCCATTCAAAATGTCAAGTGTAGCACACAAAGTTATTTTCTGCAACAAATTCCTCTTTTTTTTTAAACGCATTTCTCAGAACCACAAATTACATATCCTCCACATGCCCAGAATCAAATACCGTACAGTACAGATTTCTACAATGATATTTCAGAACAACAAAGAACATTTTGTGTGAAAGAAAAGCAACAATAAAAGAAAAATAGATGTTAAAAATAGATGTGCATGCCTCCTTTTATTGCCATTGCCACCTTTTACCGAGAATGGCACACAGCACTGGCCTTCTCATAGGATTAAAATCAACACGGGTAGATAAGCACTGCCTCGGGTGGCTGCCAACCGGATGCATTATCACATCGCCAGCGGATTGGAAATGCAAAAAGAAGCCTTCCTGATCAACTATGCTGGTCATGCCACACGAGTATGTGTATTTTGATATTGCCTGTAGGTCTCCAAGCATTAAAAAAGCATGCGTAAGTGCACAGACGGGAAGGTAAGAGAAATGTTGACTTTTCCAACATTACACAATTCAACATTTAATTTCAGGATTGGTTTAAGTGCTATGTATATCTCAGAAAAATCATACAAAGTGTACAAGAAAAGGATGAATGGCCGATGAGTAAAAAAATATATACAAATTGGTTGGAATTGTAATAAAAATTCGACGTAAATTGGTATGAGAAAGAGTGTCAACATTGCAAGGCCAAACCCTTTAACACTAAACTCATAAAAAACCACCAGTGCAGCACAATAAAGAACAATAATTCAGAGTAAATAACTCGGCACAAAAAGATGCATAACAAAAATGAGTCAATGCAATTATAATCAAAACCCACCACTGAATGAATGTGCACAATTTTAGTCAGTGGAAACAACACCTTAGAAATTACTAAGATTTACCTACGCTTTGAAAATTCTCAAGAAATCAAAAAATGGGCAGACTGCTCTAAAGGCACCATCGAAGGGTGAAAATTGTGGCTTCTAGGACGAAGCAAATCGACAGCATTTCCCAAATTGGACGATTTTAAACTTCATCCACTGAGCCGACTGCAAGTGTTGTTTCCATTTACTGCATTTTCTTTGTGTGGGACAGAAACCACATGTGGATACAGACTATTGAGAGAACAAAATAAGGACATGTGTTTTTGAAGGTCTCTCTAAATATCAGAATGTACAATGCTCTGGCATAGCTTCATTGGTTTTTTAAAAAAATTAGCCACAAGCAATACATAGAAACAACAGAATTATGCATTACCCATTTTCCTGTTAAAAATAACACTTTGAAATGGGGAAATAAAGAAATAATCATTGAGAACATTTTATGTTTTCATTGCTTTTTTTACGTGACATTATTTCCTTCTGTTTCTTTCTAAAACTAGGTTTGTTTTTGTTTGGTAACGAGAACATTTTTTTACAAATATGCATGTGTGAAGTGCTCTGTTATTCTGTTGCTGGATTAGGACCCATCAATAACCATGAGGGTCGAGTTATTTGACCACACTCCAACACGCTGTTAAGTGAAGGTTGAAGGCGGAAAGCATAAATATTAGAGCATAGAGTACAGTACATCAATGGAATTTGCTGCACTGTCCTTTGGTTCCCAACACTTAAGCCCACCAGCAGCCTATAACAACCTGTTGTGTTCACCCAACCAAGCATTATCCAGGCTCAATCCTGCTTCCAATATCTGACCAAGTGCATTGAGGGTGACTTGGTCAAAGGCTTCGGAACATGTAGGTGAATAACGAACAAACATCAAACAAAACCATGTACGACTTTACAAAAAAAATTTGTGTCAAAGCAATTCCCTCCCGTCGAAAAATTTTCCCAAAAAATGCGATAGGAAAAAAAGAATTGGCCGACCTACATCTGACGGACAGTTTTATCATGGCCCAAATGTGTGAAAATATAGGAACATTTTCTATCAAAAAGTAGTCAAACTTTAAGGCACAAAGTTGGGAATGGTTGGAACGAGGCCATCGAGTGCGGATATAGCGTTTCCTGTCCATCTCCTACAAGCCCTCCACATGCCACTGCCAAATGTGCCCGTGTCAGGGTCACTAGCTTTCTCCGTAGATCCATCTTATCTGAAACGGTCTAGCAAATAATGGTGACTACAGACACCCATCGAAATTGCCAACACTTCTATAAAAGTGTTTTTTTTTTTAATCAGTTATGACATTTGCGTTTGATTGCTCAAATTCTACCAAACATGTACATCCTTGCAGAGATTACTTGCGGTGAGAGCAAGTCACAAATTATCTTGCTCAGAAAAAGCTGTCGTGGCTTTGGACCTGACAGGATTTGGCATTTGTCGATGGGAAAGCCATGGGGGGGGCTTTGCTCACGGCTTCACAGTTCAATTGCGGTATATTCCAAGGCTCTGGCATGCCGTGCTTACTGCAAGCAAGACGGACCCCAATCGAATTCAGAGACACAACACGTTCAAGGAACAATTGTCAAAAATGTTTCTTGCCGAAATATTTTACCAAATAAAACCATACGTAGAAGGCACTTCGACACATACACGTCACACACATTAAGCCATAAAGCCAATTTAATTGTGTTCACGAGTTCAAGTAACAATCGCCAGACCGAGGTAAAACATGGGCCTCATATGTAGGAGATTTGTTGGTCATCTGCCAAAACCAATGCCTGTGCAAACGCCATTTTGCACTGAATTCTATCAAGCCTGGCTGAGCTTTTACAGTGGTATTCGGGAAAAAAAATATTTGCTGAGTTAGCCCCTCTCTCATCTTTGCTGCGGAGGACAGCACAGTCAAATAGTTATTTAAAATAGATATTTAAAGGATATCAGGCGAAACCCTGTGATGTCAGTTTCCAGACTATCCCAAATGTGGCCCTTGTACAAGCGCATGGTTAAGTTAATAATCATGTGTAGCAAGCCCAACTCACAAATAACACGTGAGAATAATTAAACATTATTTCAGCCCTATGTCATGAATCCACAGGGCAAGATCAAATATCACTCACCACTGATATTCACGGAAGGCTGGGAATTAAATTCCGGTTGGCAGGTTCAAAGTGAAATGTGCTAACCATCGTGCTACCACACCAGAATAATAACACACCTTAAATGGACATACCGAGTCCAGACATGAGTAGAAAAAAACGCAACAAATTGCAAAACTGCAATCAATAGAATGCGAAATTAATTCCAGATGTGAATATCACTGGATTCATTTTATATATATATATACAGCAGCTGCTTCTAAATGTAAGAGACAACATTTTAACTGGGGAGCGTGGTCAATTATGAAGCACACATTCTATTCAGCTTGCTCATGAATAATAATGAGAGGCTATTGCTAAGAAAGATTAATCCTCGTTTCACACAGCATATGGTATGTGCATGTTAAGTATAATGACTACAGGTGTGTTTTACTATTGACACAGATGGCCTTCTTTACATTTTTAAGTGCTGAGCTTTACAAGAATTCACCGCACAATGTATCTTCAGAGAAAAATAAGAGCATTAATGAAATTATAAACAACGCAGTGCTGGTTGTGCAACTAATGATTTTTCATTAAACCCCTCAGTTATAAAAACCATAATTCTTTATACGTTGCAAAATAATGCTGTATATAGTTTGCAATGTGGCCTGAACGTGAGTAACCATGCCCACTGAAAGTCTAACAATGCAATACCTATTATTAGCGTTCCAATGCACAGCCTGGCTCATATCGTGCACAATACAATTTCTCAACTAATCATGATAATTTCACGCCCCAAAATTGGCAGCCGGATAAAATTAGCTCCATTTATGTTTCGACAAAAGTAAGCGTTTCAAACTTTGGAAGAAGCAACAGTAAATGTGTCGATCGATTGTGGTGAACTAAAGTGTGGATCCTCGTGCCTATGATAAGTCACCTGGTCAGAGTGAAATAATATTCTATGTGGATGGATAGTGAACAGTATGCTGTAACAACTAACCAGACGTGTGAAACTACGCACGGTTTCAGATAGTAGCTGGGTCAAAATGCTATACTTTCTCCAACCAGAAATTCAAATGTATGCCTGTTGGAAACTGATATTCGGCTGATGCAATGGTATTATTTGCACAAGCATGGGAAACGATGAGTTCATTGTTTTTACGAATACAACATTTACCAAAAAATTTATCTGCACACGTGAGCTTGCAACAGCGACTCTGACGATAAAACAGCAACAGCGACGAATCACTGTGCAAAGATCATTATAAGGCAAACATGTTACACAATTTTGATGTAAAGTTTTCGTGACTGCAGGGATTCATATTCTTGGTTCTTGCTGTGGATTTCACACCTGATGATTGCTTGTGTTGCAGTCGAAACGTCGTGAGAATTTTATTGTTTTATATTTTTATAATTTCCCTTCTACGTGACTTTTACAGAAAGAACCAAGAATGTTACAAAATGTTACACGATTCATAATATTTTTTTTAATTTAAAGCCTTCGTGACTGCAGGGAATCATATTCTTGGTTCTTTCGGTAAAGTCACGTAGAAGGGAAATAATAAAAGAATTTTTAAAAAAACTTTATAAAAAAATATACCAATATAATATATATTTATTATTGTATTATTTCCCTTCTACGTGACTTTACCGAAAGAACCAAGCATATGATCCATTAATTGGCAAATATTGCCAATATTTGGCATCGTTGTCACTCCTTGTGGTGCTGCGATGCCACAATCCATGTCCCTCCTGCATATAAACCGATCTCATCAATTCCTCTCTGCGGCGGTCAACCTCTGGGGCATGATCCCTCCCCCCCGGTTGGCAACCTTGATTAACTGTCTTGTCCATCGTCCCATCAACCATTCAAGTGATCTGTCCTGCCCTAGC